TAGACACCTGAATGACAAAAACATGGTGAAGCGGAAGAGGAACTAGTGCAGAGATCAACAAAGGTGGAAGGAGAAATTTGAGTTCAAGCCATAGCGCACTGAACAAAGTTACAGGGAAAGAGTGCTAGAAAAGAAAAACAATAGGCGATTCTACGACACATACCGGGAACTGAAGCTGAACAGGACGCAGGGAAACGTGACCTCAGAGCATTATACCAGATAAACAGGTCTCTCTTCGTAAAAACATCGACACAGATGAAACCAGCGGAAGATGATCAACGGAACCTGAGTACCAATGAGAGACAAAGAAAACAATGTGCCAATCACTTCAAATAACCCTTGAATCAACCGTCACCTGAAACTCGTCCGCACATACCACAAACGGCCACAGGACTACTAATGAACATCGACCCCGTAACAAAATCAGAAGTATTGAATGCCTTTACTTGCAACCGGGAGATAGTGAGATCAAACGAAATTTTCACAGAAACACTGACAATGAATTCGAAGACCTCGCCAGACATGCTTATACGATTATTGTAGAAGTTTCGCATAAAAGGAAAGGTATCAACCAACTGATTAGGAGGGCCTTCATGCAAAACTAACTGTTAGAGAAGGGCTACCGAGGACTTCGAAAGATATCCCGCCAACTAATGCTCCTTTCTACTCCAAACAAAATCATAAACCGCATTATCCTTGATGCTCTGGATGGACGACTTTTGCTAGATCAGGCTGGATTCAAGAAAAACGTTACAGGCGGACTTGACTGCAGCACTACGAAATACGGGATATCCAGATTCAAAGTCATGATGGGTTCCTGTGTCGACTGGTTATGCGTTTTCCTCAATTCGTTCGCCAAATTCTTTTTGGACGTTTTGCATATTTTAACGTGTCGGGGTGAATTTTCATCACTGGATGCTACTATGAAGCTTATTTTGAGGTTCAGGTTCACAGTTATTAAGTTGATAGTTGACGAATATGGTGAACCTTCAATCATTGAGCTGATTCGCGTATACTATGCTAAGATGGTAAGCTGTTCATAGAACAAAATGAAATTTAATTGCAGTCTCTTACTATAATGCTGAATTATATCTGGCTGACTCTAACATTGTATAGTGAGTAAACTCTCTCACTCTTCTGCGATTGCTTGATTACTTGACCAAAGTGGAACTGTGTCGTGGTTTGTCACCATGACTGACACTAATTCACCACCCTGTTCTTCTTCTTCTACACATATTCAGAAGTAACCTACCAGGCTCATTTCACCTCTTCTAGTCCAGATTCAGCGTCCACTGCTCCTGTTTAGGGACGATCGAGGTTATTTCAGTACATACTGTGTTCACAACAAGTGGATAGAATATTCATTTATCATAAATCGGCATTATTGTCAAGTCGGTTAGATTTTGTTTAGAACTGTTGTACGGTTGGGCACTTAAGCGTTGCTGCGGTAGACGTGATGGATCCTATTAGTCACCGTTACTCAGGATATGCTATGAACCAGTAATCTCCGGCTGATAAAACGCGTAGTGTGTACACTAAACAATTCTTTCATACATTCTCACACAAATGACAAAGTTTCTAGTGTTACAAGTGTTAATGGAACCTGCTTCCTCGCTTTCTAAGCAAATGACGTTCTGAAATGTCTCCAGTCGCTGTAACTTCTTGTAGCATAGGTTCGGATGGCAGTTTTCTTTAAATAACGTTCGAACATATTTAATGAATCTTTTTCCAGAAATGTCGTTCCAGCCGTTTCGAAGGACATTAAAATTGTACCTATACCGAAGTCATCTACTAAAACATGTTTTACATTTTAACCTATAGCTATTACCTCTCCTTCTCTAGAAACTATTGAAAAGTTACTCTTACTTAATCTTCTACCTTCACTCAAATCCTTTGACGATCCCAAACAGTTCACTCATAATCACAGTATATGTGTAGATACAGCTGCAGTCTTGCATCATAACAATGTCTCCAGTTTAGACAAGGGGGCTAAATTTGTTCACTGCACCTTCCTAGATTACACATCTGCTTTCGACTCAATACCTAGGAACATTTTGTTAAACAAGCTTACTGAAACTCAAACTGACTATTGCGTTGTCAAATGGCTGCATTCTTATTTCTCATGAAGAGAGCAGTACACTGTTTGTCACGGGGAAGTCGTTCACTTCATTGCTTACTGAGGCTGGTGTCCCTCATGGCGCTGTTATTTCTCCTTTTCTGTTTTCTTTCTTCTTGTGTGACTTGCCTCACTATGATGACGAAATGAAGTTTGTTAAGTATGCGGACGATCTTACTATTTCAATGTTTGTTAACTCCCAGCTAGACTGTCCTGAGATGAACAGCTTTCTATCAGGAGGTAGCAAATGGTCTAAAACGAAATCCTTCCAAATATCAGACTGTTCATTTCAGTTTCTGATGTAATACGAAGTTAAATGAAACTGTTAGTTACCATTACCGTTGCAAAATTGATGATGTTCATATAGAAATCAAGTCTGGAGTTAAGTATCTTGGATTAATTCTACCTACTGGCCTATCCTGGTCTTCCCATGTCTTAGCGACTTCTAAAAGAATATTTCGTCTGACCTTTTACATCAAGAAGTTAAGGCATTCAGGCAAAACTCATCCAACCCCTCCTCTTACAGTTTCTCAACTCGTCCATCTTACCTATTCTTCTTTACTGTTCACCCTTGTTTATTCTTTCCCGGATTGATTAGAAAAGACTGTGTCACACTTCGTAGAACTCTGTAAACTGAGTGTCAGTAGGGCGAATGGTATCCAATTGGGCCATATCGTTGTCATTGATAGGCACTTGATGTCATGCAACAAATTCACTAAAGGAGTTTTGTCAGATTGTGAGCATCCACCTCAGAACCCCCAGCTCCAATCATGTCTCTTCAAGTAAAACAAGAAGTCTTTTCAGTAGACTTTAAGCACGTACATCTAAGTATAAAAATTCCACTATACCATATCTAGTGGCACGCACTTTATGTGATGAAAATAGTGTTAGGCATGAACTACTAACTAACCTTCTTTGCACTATTAAATAAGCCATTTCTTCCACCCTTACAACATCAACCTCTATTGTACGTCTTATATTTATATCCTCTGAATTTGTTTATTTTTCCGTAAGTGTCAAGGTTATTTAAGCTGTGCTCTAACTGTTAATTTTGTATTTACCCTCACCATACACACTATACCAACAGAACATTAGATTCAATAATGTATGACGACCTAAAGTTTCCAAACTGAATCGAGAATGCTGTTCGAAACAAACTCACTGTTGTTATTATTATTATCATCTTTAATATTCTCAATTCGTACTTCGAATATTTTTGACTTCATATCGTAAACGTGAACTCATTCCTCTGGTTAATTTTGATTTAATCTTCTCATTTATATTCCGAGTAAATCAGATGCAATATTGTGACAAATGCCAAGAATTCCATTCTGTATTATTAGTAAATATATTAGGAAACCTGCATTGTCATGCAGAACACTAACTGGTCCCGTCTGCCTGCCTCAGTCAATGAAGCAGGTCTAGTAAACTACCGATTTCTATTATACTGTCACATTTATTTTGATACGACTTACGTCTATCTATCCTAGCCCGCATATTCAATTAATATCATCAGATAGGATGACTTTGACGAATCTCTCATGCGCTATATCCATAATTTCATGGACATCAGTGTTCCCCTAAATACACGATCGCACAACCGTCATTTCATATGATGACAGCCAACGTCTACATACATCCGTAGAGAAGAAACTTGTTGTGCATGGATGGTTATGCACAGTTTTGTGAGTGGCTATCTTGTATCCTTCAGATGTATTCCCTACTGTAAATGTCGACTGACAGGAAGTACTTTTCGACCTAAACAATGTTTGAATTTACATGCACGGTCAACTAATCCTTTGTTCCTCAAGTCAACACCACCTCTAGGAGGAGCACGTCTACCTGCAAAACTACATTCATATCTCACATACTCATATTCCACAGAGCCGGATGGGTCTTTTTTACTTGAAGAAACCCTGTAGGATGTGTTGGATACCTTTCAGAGATATAATGAACAATTTAGTCATTACCTTCATAAATGTATCAAAAGCTTCCACGTATCAAATACACAAGAAAGGATTATTCTTTGGAATAGACCACTTACATCAGACAATATAGATGACACATTTCGTGAATTTGAGGCAGTAAAAGTGTTTTGTGACATCATGTAATGGTTTTAACAATGCATAACGGGCACAACACGATGATTCCAAGTACTATCATGACCTAATGAATTGTAGTTCAATTATGTTCACCTAGTACGCAAACATGTGTATATCCTATTTTGCAAGTTGAAAAAAAGTATCAAAAATACCGTCGAATAATATTCACCTACTAAAAGACCTCATACATCTCAATGTATCAAGTAATATGTGACTCATCCCACTACACTCTACACTACGCCAAACAAATTCACACGGAATTATAAGATGTTAAGTTTGTAATCCCACAGCCTATAACTATCCGTGTGAAATTAAAGAACTGACTGCCCCGAAATATATTTTAAACCAATAGGAGGCCAACTAGCCAATCAAAATCTGTCCACATAGCTTTTCCCTACTGTCACCGATGACATGCCTGAACGGGACCAGGGCTAAGATGTGCCATACTCCTGAGAGTGATCTCGATCTTCAATACACGCACGATTTACGTCGAAGGTTACACAAACGAAAAAAATACGTGATAGAAAAGACAAGCGAGACAGCAACAGCCCACAAAAGCCACATTCATGTTCTCCAGCCAGTCAGTCACCCAAGCCCTTCTTCCGAGTTAAGCACCTGAACACATCAGTAACAAAATTATTTATTATTCTATATACAAAATCATTTGAGAAATAAAAGCATTGCAAAACTGTCACTTCTCAATCTGACGGTTAATATGGTCGATTGTCTAGATATAGGAAATATAACGGGTAGATGTGTAGTTTGCACCAATGTAACATCTATCAAAACTGAAAGTCGCCATCTTTTCCCAAAGTGGAATCAGGTGGAATAAACCGGAATTCTTCCTCTGAGTTGGCTGACACTGCGGTGCTACATGTACCATCATGGAGAACATTCTCGTCCTGCTTTTCGTCGTCATCCTGCACAATAGTGAATAAGGGACAATTAAAAGTTACTTACTCCACGTACACAACGTTGCAGAATACACGATAATCAAACTACTCACTCATCACTTTACTGTGCCCTACTAATGTCGTATTACCAATGATAAAGAACGAAGGACAATCAGTGGACAACAAGCCACACTCATACATCATCTCAGACGTCACCTCGACAAGACATTCCCAATTCGACTGACAACAACAACCAACTGGGAAAAATCTATTAATTTGCAAGACAACTGATCCAAGCCAGGCCGTCTCTTAGTGCTCACTGTCTCAAAATCTCAATATCAGATCCCTTCCATTTAATGTACAAAGGCTAATCCTACACTCTCACTGGTACGTGCATCGTAAAACTGCAGACATGGTATTAAATGAGGTTTTTCAACTGGAGATATCGTCTCACTATCCAAAGTGTTATCCCCTCGAAACACACTGTTCTTTCAGGACGAACATCGGTACTCAGAATCGATTGCAAAACACACCCGTCAACTTTCTGTCTAGAGCGGCAATTCCCACAACACTGAATCCTAAGTCAAGCAACACCTTGGTGTTTGGCCAAATTCTCCTTAATTCCACACCATGAGACTTCATTTCATTCAAATTATGCACGTACTGCGCATAAGATGCAAGTGACTGAAGCAATGCTTGATTCAACTGATCCAATCGTTAATGAAAAGCTGTGCAACCCAAATCAAACACTCTCGAATGCAGAGTTTACATGACACAACTCTGAGAGAGCGATATATCACAATCTGATATAAGTATAAAACTTGGGAACTGTGGCAGAGGACAACGCCATCAGGGATTCATCAAAAAATGAAATCTTATCCACAATGGAGTTACATCACAACCAGCTCAAACTCCCGGTCAGACAATCACTTACCCCATCATTGAAGTACTTCTCAATCAAGTTATACGCAGCTTGGTACACCTGCTGGTTACTGTGATCTTGTAAGGCCTCCAATTTGTCTAGACCCCACACGTCTCCAGCTCGATACACACAGGCTCCAACTGGCCATATTGATCAGACACCTTGGATGTAGAAAATAAGACAGACTTTCCAGTACAAAATCTTCAGAATGCAAAGTAAACAGAAATAATCTCCTAGACTTAGTCAAAGAATGGACAGCACCACGTGTTGGAGCATGCCGTCTCAATTAACATATCACACTGATACTTTCCTGTCTCGGTGGTCATAGTCTGACGAAAACACCCAGGTCGCCGAGAAAGCTAAGCGTCTAACAATCTTCACACTTGGTTCAGTTACAGTGCAAAGTCGCCGCACACCTTGAACAATTTATTCACCCGCGACACAATGCGAAATTCCCAGGTAAATATATACTGTTTACCTGACGCTTAGAGTGGATCCGCCTCAAAGCTGGTGTGTTAAACACCATTGAAGCCATGAGTCAGGCCAACATATTATTTTCAACTGAACATCAGCTGCTCATGGGACCAATCCTCGCGTTCCTCAGACACAGAGTACAATCCTCCACTGCAACACAACTAACCGGCTCACCCTCCAACACAGAGAGGAGACTCCAATCATTCAAGGAATAAAAGCAGTTTGGTTTACCTCAAGGAGCTTCGTGATGATTTCCAGAGTCATGAGGATGACTTTAACATCTGAGACTGAAAGGAGATTCTTCAAAGCCTTGAAGATAGGGAGATTAAGTAGGTAGGCGCATTGCTCCGTTGTCCCACCGGTTATTATATTACTGATCACCCAACAGGCTTCTTTCTGTGCTTTGTATTCACCCTAGAGAACAAAAGAAAAATCATGTCACAGACTCAATCCTGGTATAGTCTTCAATTCCTCAGGTGCCATCCCACGGTCTAACCCTGCAATAATTCACATCAATTGAAATACTAAGATAAGAACCATTCATGTCTAATATTGTGGTAACACTGACTTATTTCCTACCTTCAAAGCAGTATTCCACTTTAAATAGTGCATGACCAACTTGGCGCCACATCAACACTTTCATTCTGCCCAGGATATTAGTTCTGATTGTTAACAACGTGAAAACGACCACACCACCTTCAAGTTATGCCTAATCACAGTTGGCTTCTATCGTCCAATCATGTGACTTTCTGTGCTAACTCAAATTAGGTCGACTAAAATTGTCTCTGTACTTAGTGATAATCTGTGGACTAAATTAGCCATTAGCTGTCAATGTCTTTGTTGGAATTTCAACCTGGCAGTAGAACACCAGAACGAGTAAATTAGTCACCCACATCTGAGAATTGTAGGTGTTTGCCAGCTCTGATAACTGTCAAATGTGACGCACAGTGAATCAACACTCTTCTCCTTGGACGATATTAGCTGCACCAGAAAAATATTGTCAGTATTCAGGTCAAATCACAGAACCAACCTACGAAATCATTCACTTTCGCGGGTTACACAGTTCGACGATTTGAACAGATGAACTCACAGGCAGCTATTTGTTTCTATGTCAACTAATCATTGTAACTGATGCTGTGCACCCACCTGATGAGTGGAATGAGTTCTCTTCACGTCTTCACATACAGTCCATATACATACAAAGGTTAACAACCAATTGTCAAGTGGTAATGGTAACACAACTAACGCTCTGAGGGACAACTTACCTTGTGAAATATCTCTAAGATGCATGGTAACACGCCATGTTTGATTACCAGGTCTACCTGGTGCACGTTACCCGCTGTTACATTGCTCACAAGCCAGCATGCCTCCTTGACAACGGTCGACTTCTCGTTATTCAACAAGGCTGGAATGTAATCTAACAAACCAGCATCAAGAACAGCTTGTGTTTGAGCATCACTCCCAGCTACCAGATTCCCAATCGTTCTGAGTGAGGGAGAGACAATCTTCACCTAAATAAAGAGATAATTAAAGTTGACCATAAACCTACCGAGGCAGATGCCAACAGCCTAAGGAGCCGTGGGACACATCCACTCTCAATAATGTCGTCAATGAAATCATTCACCGCGTCACTGGAGTATGACAATGCCCACGCACTGTCCCCGATCACGTCGTTGTTACCTTCGTAGTGAAGAAGTCGAGTGAACACAGGGAGCAGTGTCTTAAGCACCTCACGTGCAGGAGGCGGGTTACGATAACGACACAGGTTAGACAGCATCCAAGTGATGTTCGAAACCACTCCTGGAAGGTTCCAAGTGCGATCTAAAAGTCTACCAATGTTAAGTCACCAGGAGACAACATACTTTATAACTGGATCTAAACACCACATTTTATGGTAAGATCTCTCAGCACCGCCCCATCACCCGCAATATTTCCAAGCGCCCACACACTCTGCTCTGCTATGCAAGAGGCAGGATGACCAAGAAGTCGTATCAACTCCGGAACTGCACCAGAGTCAACCACAGAATTTGTGTATCGACTGTCCCCAGAGGCAATATTTGTCAGTGCCCAGGCTGCCTCAAAAACAAGATCATCACTGTTTTATTAGACCAAATCGGCGAAACTCACTGTGTAGAGCTCAACATTGGAATGAGAATACTGATAACTCCTCTCTTGCAAAATTCATCAATTGGAGGATCTTTCGTCACTGACAGAGATTTTCTGCACAGACGGACAGCCTTTGTCTTCACAGATTCATCGTCTGACCGCATATCTCGAATAACATCATCGTAGGAACCAAGCTTAGAAGTATCAACCTGTTTTTCTCTCAACGGCGTGGTCTCATCAAGCTCAGGTGTGAGAATGTTGCGGCGCTTCTGAAGTTGTTCATCTTTCTTGGCTTTTCGGAGTTCTACCGACTGATCAGCACGTCGTCTTCGAAGTTCCTGACACGATTCGAATTACTATATTCAACTCAGGTTACCTCGCTGCTCTTATCTCTATTCTTATACAATCTGCTTCTCTCCATCGAATCGAGAATGTGCGCGGCTCGCAGATGATTGTCCGCGATGCCTCGGCTAAACAAATTCAACAACCGTACAATGTACAATGAACTGGTGCTGGCAATCCAACTGCTATATCTCCATCACTTAGTAGACAGAAAGCACAAACATAGCATTTGTTGATGAAGTGTATAAACATGCAGACAATAGAAATCCATATGTCACTAAAAGTCCCGAAGTTATAATCGCAGAAATAGAGGACCAGTGTGAACTACATATATGACATAATATATGAGGCCAACATCCTCATTCTGAATATGATCATTTGTCGCCACTGATGCAGGAATCACGACTTCAGTTGGATTTCGTGCTGACTTCGAGTGACTTGTTTGTCAGACTGTCGATTTGTTTACTTCTCGCTTGGGGGACGTGCACAACATCGTACGCATAGACACGATAAGTTGGTGGGACACTGGGAGGAATGAGTCCTGGAGATTACTGGAAGGCAGACTTGCAGCATCCTTGCATAATCGAGACGGTTTCGTCTAAACATGGGTCTTCAAAGGCTAACACAGCTATCTACACTTGGCATGAAATGAAGCTTGCATCCTTCCAGAGGGATAAAGACCGTCTATTTATTCTTGATGATTCTCAATCTCTAGTGGCAGTTCACGAGCTATGAATTATGACAGAACGATAAGAAGGGTCAGGTGTAGTAACCTAGTGCAATATTGCATTCTCCATGATCATATTGAAATGGGATGGGTAACTCGACTTATGCCTACCTAATACTGCTGTTCTGACGCAGGCCCTCTGTGTCTCACCCAGGCACAAAATTATCGAAGACTGATCAACAAATATGAGGACAGATTTATTCGACAAGAATACATGACACATACAAACTCCCAGCACACATGAAATCATGTCGAGTCACTGGTTGAGTGGGGTAGGATATCTGTTTTTATGCAGAGCAGGAAGTCAAAGAAGTTCATCAAATCATCTGGATCCCAGATCTCTCTTCTGCAACAACCAATTTATTTGTTCGGACCGAAACAAGGGGTGGATTATCTGATTTTCAAGGGGCGACAGCTTGACAGCTTCATTGTGGTGTGATTGTGCATCCAAAAGTTCTCTAGATCATCGTCATTGAATGCATCTTCCAGTGGCTGTGTCATATTCTCGCTTCGCCATTTGGGGCCGTGTTAAGAAGAGCCTAGCCACCAGATAGGGTGGGCCAGACTATAGAGTCCGCGGGTAGCGCGGTTGACGCCGAGGTCTAGCAGGACAGACGGCCACATAACAATCCTATGAGGTACCTCTAGTTGAAGCCGATCGGAAACGAGCAGCCCAAATGATTGGTTTCACAAAAGGTCAGAGATTGTCCGTAAATCTTTAATTCTCCTTCCCAGTATTTACTGATTAACTGGACTATAGGCAAGATCAAATGCATTGTTTACGACGCAATAAGCGGTTAACTCTTAGGAAATACCTAACTATTTTCGAGTGACTGCGCTATTCGCATTTAATAATGATAATGCATATCTTCATATAAACATATAAATTTACATGAAAATTCATGGCATTTTACAGGAACGATCAGGTATGATATGATAGCAAATTGAAGGTTGTCTACAAGTTAATGTTTAAACAGATAAATATTTGATATATATATATACACTCATTGTCTGAACCAGACCGTATAGTTATCGAATTGTTCAGTTTTCCTCCAGGTTGAGAGGGAAAATCGACTTCGTTTCGTTTTCAACCCGTGATTGTAGACACCCGATCACCAACCAATATTGAGGTAAGTACAACGTTTACAAGGGATTGAAATCTGTTTTAGAAAAGTAAATGTACTAAGGTGAATCATACAAGTGTAATGAAATAAGTGAGTGCAAGTATCATTAATAAATGCATTTATAAAGGAAATACAACGGGAAAACATATAATTCCTAGACTGACAACGTTCATTTGGAATGTACAATGCTACTCATATAGTCCGTACTATCATGATTTCCACTTTTGGTTTTAATGCATTTATCCTCATGCCCGTTTTTTAATTTGTACCTTTTTGTGCATTTAGTGCACAACCGTACCTGCAGAGAATAGGAATAGAATAAGTCGAATCAAATTCATAAAGAGCTATAAAATGTTAGGTTTAATGGGATATAATGAGGATCGAGTAAAGACGTTATTAGAATATGAATGAGATATGACATTGTGAAGTGGTATTTAAAGATCTGACAATGGACAGCAAGTTAATTTATAAGATGCCCCATAAATCTGTGCAAATCCCGCGTGGTCGCATCTCAACAATAGGCTGAGCGAATGGTATATATTTAAAGGTAGAAGCATGATCTGTCAAAGCGTTCATTATTATCTTTTTCAAGATAAAGATCTGAGCCCTCATAAAAGTCATGAAAATCTCGAGCCTTCAAATTGCATATTGCTGTTCCTGCAGAATGGGGTGATTCACCTTAGTGACCACCACCATATCTACCGATCAGCTAGCGCCACCCTTCCTCCTTTTATGATGTTAGGCTCTGAGACTATGATTATTATGGCTACCGCAAATATATTGCTTGGTACCAGACATGTTCATACCTCATATTCCATCTCCCTAGCTTTCTTAATGAGTGCTTCCAATAGGTCTCCACGTGCATCTTTATGAACATATTATATATGTAAGCATGCGTCCTAATGAGCAGATTACTTTATAAGAAGTTAAGACTTTAAAGAGTAGAATGTATAGGTTTTGTGAATAGTGGAGCAAGATTCAGCAGAACACTATAGTTAGGGTTCAATATAGTTAGTATGAACTGAAGGTAAGGTCGGTTGGCAGGACTTAGTGTACTAAATTATCGTGACAGTCTTGTGTGTAGTAAACATTTGACATTGCAAAGTAACCTGTCTACATATATTATAAAAAGATATTAACGCTGAACCAACAAAATTTTAGCATTTGGTTAACAATACTGCAGAAGGGTAGTTAGTCTTACGGGGAGCCGTAAAGAAAATCAATCTATATATGTTAAGAGTATAATCAATGTTATAATTCGTATTATCAAAGAATACATTAGGCTCAATAACTCAGTGTTATAAGGGAAACAAGCGTGGTGAACCAAGAGAACGTTTGCTGCATAAATATTTTAGTCATTTTAAGTATTTTAATGACAATCTAATTTCCTGAATTAAATATGCATAATTACTAAGTATTATTGTGTTAGTCTAGGTACTAGTGTACTTTCTGTAGTTAAATATTGAAATGTCATTGTTTCATCACTCTGCCAGCAGTTGAGATTTTTTAGACGGGCTAGGGTGGACATGTTAATATGTTTTTCTAGGTTCCTTTCGATTACAGATGAAATTTTATTTTTATGCAATCACACAGTGTCCGTTATTCTGTAATATTTACTGATGATGACGTCGCGAACACAATTTATTTCCACTAATTATCATATCAAGGCTCTACTCATATAACTTTCTTTTTTCATTTATATATTATATAAGTAGGGGACATCTGAGAGCTTCCTTAAGCAGGTTTCTCAATAAAGCAGGAGCTAGGGTGGTGATATTTAAACCTGTGGACTCACTCAGGTAGGGAGAGCTGTGTAGGTGGTTTGACGGAACCTGTAATAATAATAATTTATATTTTCATATAAACATAAATGTACATGAAAATGCATGCCGTTTTTACAGGCACGATCAAGTATGGTATAATGTGAAATCTTAGATTGTTTGACCCAATTAGATAAAGTAATTTAGTTTACAAAATGCCCTGCAACCACGTAGGTCAAACGGACCAGTAGATCGAGGGTAGTCACACTGGCTGTGGGAACGTAAGAATTTGGCTGAGTCTAGAATGACTGATCTCACGAAGATAAGTAATTTAGAATAAGGTCAGCACTACACTGCACTGCATGCATTAATACAAAACCACAAAATGGAATGGGTGAGACAGAGTCAACACTCCAAAGATTGGTGCGGGTAGGATGATATGGAGAGGGATCGGTTACTTACTGAATCCTGGTTCATCTGGTCTACTCACCCAACACAACACATACAATACAAGTGATTGATCATCACCCCTAATACCACAGGTATCGAAGATGTTATTACCACCAGTCAAATCCGAGGAGGATGATAAATAATGTTTAAATTCTATTTCAATTCATATACATTATAATATTCAAACAACTTATTTATTTTCCTGTAAAAACATCTTATTTCCCATCTGATTTTTATTTCATTGAGAACACTAATATAATGATTGCCGAATGTACTTTTTCATCATATATTGTCAATGTAGTTGAAGACTGAATGATCAATTCATGGTTGTTTTCTCAAACCCAACTCCATATTTTTCGCGAAAGTTATCAATACGGCAGTCATCGTCTCATCGTTCGCCGTTCGTTGGAAGAGAGAAAACTATCAGAAACTTTGTGCACAATAACTTAATGGTTGGCTCTGTATTGGTGCAAGAATGAACGGTTCTTGAGTCACCAATTTGCATTCTGGTGTTTCGTGTCAGTTATTACGCACAGTTTCGGAAAGTCTTCCAAGGACAGCGTGAGGTTCAGTGCAGTAGGATAGGACATTGAGACTTGTGCTTATAAAACGGATGAAACCTACTTTCTTTGTTTAAAATTGAGTGGACGTCTACTGTTTTAAAACTTGATTCTTGATTTTTAGTGGATTATTTCATGTTTTGTTGATCGCAATTGTTGATTCTTATTGTATGTTTGGTCACTTATGTCATAACACGCAGT